ATAGGCTTTCATGTGTTTCTTATTCAGACTGTTATCGAAACCCCTGCTAAATCATCAAATAAGACTCAACACGTGCCATTCTAAAACAAGGAAATTAACCTCTTACACACATGTATGGAAATGGATAGATTACAAAAGGATCTGATTCTCAAAAATGACCCCATGGCCTGGTACTTGCGGCAGATAAGGCAGCTGAGGTTCAGAGGTTAATTGGCCTGAAGAACCCAATCAGGGTAGGCAGAGCAGGGCTAGGAGCTTGTTCCTAGGCCAGCATGTTTTCTTACCTTAAAAATAAAGTAGGTCAGAATCATTTGGCAGGCTCATTGTTTGGGAACACCAATTCATCCTGGAAAAACTACTGTATTTTTGAAGAATGCTCACATTTTTTAAAATTAGAAAGTTGAAATTTCTAGCCCAAAATCTTTTGACCATCCAAAATGAGCTAAGAAAACTGTTCTAAGGCTGGGCATGGTGACTCACACCTGTAACCCCAGCACTTTAGGAGGCTGAGGTGGGCAGATTGCTTGAGACCAACCTGGGCAACATAGTAAAACCTCATCTCTACAAAAAAAAAACTTAAAAAAAAATTAGCCAGCCATGGTGGCACACACCTGTACTCCCAGTGATGTGGCAGGAAGGGGTTGGTAGCAGTTAAAGATATTTCCTTTTGAAAGCCAAGCAGCAAGTTCTAAAGGCCCACCAGGCAGGTTTTGTTTGAAAAGGCAAAATGGCCAGAGACTGACGGCTCTCATGGAAATGCAAAACAGTAACTAATTCACAGACTTATCCAAAACCCCTCTTTTGAAGTTGACTGTTTACAACCCTGCTTGCAGACCCTGCTGCCTTGCATTTCCTGGAGACCATTTGTTCTTTGAAAAACCTGATTTTGCTAAGTACAACCTGGGCTCGGTGGCTCAGCCTGTAATCCCGTGCTTTGGGAGACTGAGGTGAGTGGACTGCCTGAGCCCGCGGGTTCGAGACCCGCCTGGGCAACTTGGCAAGACCTCATCTCTACAATAAATCAAAAACTAGCTGGGTGTGGTAGTGCAAGTCTGTAGTTCCAGCTACTTGGAAGGCTGAGGCAGAAGGATCGCCAGAGCCCAGCAGGTTGAGGCTGCAGTGGCTGGGAGCGGCCACTGCACTCCAGTCTGGGTGACGGAGTGAGACTCACTCAAAAAAAAAAAAAAAAAAAGATTCCAAAGAGAATGTGTAATCGCTCAACATGACCCCCTCCCTTACCTAAACAAGGATATAAGACACCTCTTCTTCCGTTCTGCGGGGCTCAACCTGGAAGCATTAGCCCCTTGAGCCCGCTGAGCCGGCCAGCATAATAAAGTGCCACTTCCTATAATAGTCTTGATGTCACCATCTCTGTCTTCCCGCTATACCAGCTACTCAGGAGGCTGAGGTGGAAGGATTGATTACCTGAGCCCAGGATGTTGAGGCTGTAGTGAGCCATGATCATGCCACTATACTTGAGCCTGGGCAACAGAGTGAGAACGTGACTCAAAAGGAAAAAAAGAAAAGAAAAATATTCTCAGAAATCAGGAAAAAATATTGGTGCAGAACTAGAAGGCACACACACATTTTAAGAAACCCAATGTTTACTATGAGAGAAAACTTTCTAATAAGGAGAGCATTTTCAGACAAAATGAAGACACAGAATGCTTTATAAAGCCCAGACTGGAATTCAGATTTTTCTGTTGGCAGCTGAGAGTGGTTTCCCTGACCTATGTTTGTTCTCCTCTCTTAGAGTTGAGAAGCATACTCCTTTAGCCGGAACGTGGAATGCGGGAAAAGTCTGAAGCAGAGGCCTGATGGCCAACTGTTAGGGTGTTGGGAGATACCTGCCCCAGCTGGGGGCTTGCTGAACTACACTGGGGGACCTCCACACCAACATCCAACACAAGAGTGTAAATCTGGAGCCAGAACACTAGGCAGGAACTAAATGTGCTCTTGACCTTAGTGATAGTATGGCTTCAAATTCAAAAAACAGAGAGGCTGATCTTAACCATCTACCTATGGCTTAATCCTTCACTAATTTACTAAAGAAACATTCAATTATTAAAGAGTTAAGTTGGGCATACTGCTTAAAATTTTATAGTTTGAATATTATAATGATTTCACCTACCAGGTGTGTACTTTAGAGCAAAGTCTGCTTCTCAACTCTAAGAGAGGAGAACAAAGATAGGTCAGGGAAACCACTCTCAGTTGTCAACAGAAAAATCTGAACTCTAGTCTGGGCTTTATAAAGCATCCCGTGTCTTCATTTTGTCTGAAAAAGCAAGTTGGCCTAGGTAATTTCTAAGAAATCTTCTAGGTCTAATATTTCAATTCATTGGATTATATTGTCAACTACTAAGCAAATACAACATACCCATTCCAGAGTGCAGTATCTTAACAAAACTTAGCGATTCATCACCCAAGGAGAAAATTTAGCAGCTGAATCATGACATAATCAACTAGAAGGTAGGGCAGGTTGGGGGTGCAGTAGTATTTTTCTGATAGCCAGGATTTATGAGTCCAGGAATCAAGAGGTGGAAATGGGAGTGGCACCACTTACCGGTAACCCTAGTGACCCAGTAGCAAAATGTCTGCTTTCTGTCCCCACAATCTTATGCTCTGCTGGTCCACAGGTCTTAGTTCCAAACGGAATAATGCTTCTACCAGGAGATACAATGATGATTCCATCCAACTGGAAGCTAAGACTGCCACCTGGCCACTTTGGGCTCCTCAGGGCTCTGATTCAACAGGCAAAGAAGGGAGTTGCTGTGCTGGCTGGGTGACTAACCCTACCAAAAGTAAACTGGACTACTACTCCACAACAGAGGTAAGAAAAGGTATGTCAAGCCGGGCTCGGTGGCTCAGCCTGTAATCCCGCGCCTTTGGGAGGCTGAGGTGGGTGGAATGCCTGAGCCCGCGGGTTCGAGACCCGCCTGGGCAGCAAGACCTCATCTCTACAATAAATAAAAAAATCAGCCGGGCGTGGTAGCACATGCCTGTAATTCCGGCTACTTGGAAGGCTGAGGAGGAAGGATCGCCGCCCAGTAGGTCGAGGCTGTGGTGGCTGGAAGTGGCTACTGCACTCCAGTCTGGACGACAGAGTGAGACTCCAACTCAAAAAAAAAAAAAAAAAAAAAAAAAAGAAAAGGTATGTCTGGAATACAAGAGAGCCATTCCTCAGGGCATCTCTTAGATGACCAAACCCTGAGATTAGCATCAATGGAAATGACAACTACCCAATGCAGGCAGAACTAAGAATAGCCTAGCCCCTTCAGGAAAGACAGTTTGAGCCAGGCAAAGGACCATGGCCATGTGAGGTGCTTGCTAAAGGCAAAGAAAGTACAGAATGGGGAGTGGAAGAAGGTAGTTAAAAATACTAGTTATGTATTTACGGAAGTGAAGACTGGAACGATCACAAGTATGTCCTCCCTATTTTGTTATGGCTATGTCTGTATGAGTGTATGTCTGGGTGTCACATTTACTCCAACAATGAAAGTGTGTTCATCCTTTTCCAACAGGTAAGTTCCTAACACTCCTTTCCAATAACTCCATTTCCTATACAAACTAAATCTTGTTTTCAAGTGATTTCATATTTCTGTATTTCATATTTAAATTAAACCACAAACTCACGGGAAGGAGGGAACCCATTCTTCCTCCTCTCCAATATCACAAGACTGCAGGGCTAGAGAAGGGCAGCTCTTATTAATCAACTAGGACTTCCTTGAAGAAACTGACAGGAGCCCTCCCTCAATGACAACCCCCCTAATTGAGCTTCACTATAGCTGTTGGATAGTTTTGCTAAAGGGCTGTCTCACCCACAGATAGCTCTTCCCTAAGCTGGTACAACTTTTGGTTAGATGAGGGACCACAGGGATGTCTTCCCAACTTTCTCACCCATCAGTAACATGATGGTGCAAACCAGTTGGTACTGTCCACTCATCATCAGACAGCACCGAGGGAATAAAGCAACTCAGAGGCCCAGCTTCCATGTGAAAAGGGACTGCCTGAGAATCATCATTTTCACTGGGAAGCATTCACATAGACACAGCAAATATGAATGCTAATCACCAGAGTCAATTTTTTTCTTCAAGATAATTTCCAACTTTTAATAACAGTCACAGCAGTTAAATGGATTCATTTTCCAAAAGTTATCTGTCTTCCATGCTAGGAGGAATGGGTAAGAAATCTCACCTTAACAGATACACCTGCTGGACAGTTCCTGTTTTCCAAAAGTTTCCTGGCTCTGTAATATGCCCTTACTTACAAGCACAGGGAAAGGAAGACAGAAAACAAAGAGGGAAAGATGGAAGACAGGGGAACCAAGGAAGACACAAGTGATCCAGATACTGATATTACCACTCACAATGCACCAATCTTCTAGTACAGACTGTAGGTGGCACAGATGGATGGCCAAGATCTGAATCCCAGTTCCACTACTTACTAGCTGTGTGACTTTGGATGAGTTCCTTATTCTTGTGGAGTTGTTAGGATTAAGTGAGTTAATTCAGTTAATGTGGTTAGAGCAGGGCCTGACACATCTTGGGAGCTAAGTAAGGATAAGCTCTCATTGTTGTCATTTCATATACCTTTCTATAATACTTATATATATATATATACATATATATATATATATATATATACACACACACACACACTAAAACAAAAAAGGTGGGGAGTTGGAGGGCTGTGAAAGGCACAACCTTAGCTTTAAACACAAAAACTCAAAATCTACATGAAACACTCTCACCAAAGGGTCGTTTTTCCTCCTAGACATTTTTCTAATAAAAATTCAAAGCTGGGCCAAACGCTTGGCTTCTTGTTCCACAGCAGGGAACTCTCTTCACTGATCCCTGCTTTATCCCTTCCTCTCACCACAGCAGAAATTTTTTAAAGATAAAAAATCAAAGTATCAGTTTCTACTCATTATTTCAGAGGTGGTGAGTGCCAGTCAGAGAGGAGCACAAACAATGTCCACTTCCCCTCAGCAGGCAGCTGACCTCACTGCTCTTTCGTCCAAAGACGACAGTGGACCAGCCGCTGGGTGGAGGTGGCGGTTCCACCACTGGCTGTGATGCCAGCCTCCCAGGGATGACAAGGACCAAACTACTCAGAGCCACAGATGCCATTGTGTGACTGCTGCCATTCGTCTGCTGCAGCTCTTTCTCACCTATGGCAAGTCAACACACATGTACCAAGCATCTCACACAGAACCCAACCTAAGATGCAGGTGTGGTTAGAAGTTATCACTCCATACAAATGCAAAGTCTGTGGAACTTTCTATCATCTTTCTGCAGCAGAGTCAGGATCTTTTAACACCACATGAGATTCTGCTAGGAAGAAAAATCTAAAGGAAACATGATTTGTATTACAGTTGGCATTCTGATCTTAAAGAGCATCCAATATCCTGGGATAAAATGTATTAACCACAGGAAAGATTCCAGAAAATTGAAGAGGGGCAGGGCATGGGGGCAGAGCAGAGAGTTTGGTGGATGAGTGCTTTTAAGTCTAACAACTACCCTATGATGTAAATGTTGCCATTCTAATTTTACAAAACAAGGGATCTGAGGCTTAGAGAAGTTAGGTAGCTTTGTCCAACATTCCACAGCCATGTGGTGATGGCACCACCACTCAAACCTAGACCCAATTCCTAAGTTTCTTTGTTTATTATTTATTTGTTTTTTGAGTTGGAGGTTCACTCTTTTGCCCAGGCTGGAGTGCAGTGGCAAATCACGGCTCTCCGCACCCCTCACCTCCTGGGCTCAGGCGATCCTTCTGCCTCAGTCTCCCAAATCGCTGGGATATACAAGTGTGCCCCACAACACCCAGTTAATTTTGGAATTTTTTTTTTTTTGTAAAGATGAGGTCTCACTATGTTGCCCAGGTTGGTCTTGAACTCTTGGGCTCAAGCAATCCTCCTGCCGCAGCCTCCTAAGTGTGACTGATCCACTATGCCTGGCCCTAAGTTTAAATGTAAAGACAATATGCACGAGTGATCTCTAACAGGAAAAGTTTTTTAGCTATTAACCAAAACTAGATGATTAACTACTAGATAGCTGAGTGGTTAAGGCAAAAGAAAAATCTCTGAACAATTGGATTCCTAAATTAAAGTACCAAACAAGGGTAATTAGAAGCATCTATGGAGACGATGAAGAAAAAGAGCCACAAGGAACAAAGACTGCAGATTGAGAAGGGACCAGACGGCTAAGAGGCCACACTGGTAGTAACCAAGGGGGCTCCCGCTTGCCTTCAGAACACAGCACAGGAGCTTGGGGTAAGGGGTGGGCTGCAAACAGCTGGTCTTGCTCAACTAGCTTAGAGCAAAGCACTGGGAAGACTTCTGATGACTTAAAATTCACGTTAATCACCAGCTTTCCTCATATGTTATATGGTGATGTTTATTTGTTATTCCCTAACACAAGTTGGCAAAAGCTAAAGCCAGAATTCCGACACAGAGATAATTTGCTTTCTAAAGACTTAATAGTCATCATTTATTTTCTGATGTAGCTCCAAAAATAATCTGAAGACCTTACAAAATCAACTGCCATTTCAAAATGTACACTGTATACTTTCTAAACATAAGGCTTGAAAGAAAGCTAACAGTTTAGTTCAGACCTTCAATATAGTATTATCTTCCTAGTAATCATGTCTTCAAAAAACGTACAACCAAATGTACGTTTTGAAGTTATTTAGGATACTCCAACAATAACTTAAAATGCTGAAGTCTAACTCCCTATAATTGGGAAATGAGAGAAAGTTCAGTTAATTTTAATACAGCTATGATTCTCTGTACAGAACATCACCATCTTCATTTGTTTTCTCACTGACATCCATTCTTTAATACAAATAACTTTGAAACAGTCAACACTACCTGCCAAGTGAATAAAAGAAAAAAAGAATCTGTGACTCCATCCACATCCTCTCTATCATTTCCACTTCAGTTTAATTCAAATAACAGCTGGACTTGGCCTTGTGCCAGTCACCGGATACTAAAAATTACAGTACATGTTGCCACACTGGGAATACTACAAAGTTGAAGGATGATTGAGAAGAGTGGGGAGGGAGGGCAGTGTGGGGAGAACTAGATACCAGGACAGGAAAGGCACCCCATGGAAGATAAACTCGGAGTTCGGTTAGGTGACTGTTTTGTCTTTTTCCCCCCTAACTTCTGAAGCTCACAGCAGCTCAAAAGAACTTTACTTAACTTGTCCTCATAATATCCATGAGAACCTTCATAACTTTCTCATAGATCAAGGAGCATTTTGTATACAGGAAAATATATACACAAGTTTTATCTAAGACCTTTCAAATATTTGTTTGTACAGCTAGCACTAAGATTCAGGATCCTAAAAAAAAAAAAAAAAAAAATTAGTCCAGACCACCACCCTGCTTTTGACTAATTTCAACCATACACAGACTGAAATGCTCTTACAACGACCAGATGTCCCTCAAAATTATAAAGAAGTCTCATACATTTTAAAAATGAAACAAACAAAAAAGAGAGTGAGGAGGTAGTGTGTTGCCTATTAGAGCAATTCCAAAGTATAGTGTCACTCAGGGTTACAAGCTGCAGACTGCCTGGAGTGCCGAATGCTTGGAAAGACTCACCCTGCTCTTGGTCCATGCTTCTGTGGTGCTTCCAGATGAAAGAGGCTCGGCCCAGCTCCATCGTCCATCACTAACCATTGTTGCTAACATTTACTATTTACTTCTTGGGCTGTGGGTATTCACACCTATGACCCAAAACATGTTCAACAGATAAAAGCGAAGAGTGCATGCATGCATACACATGCACTATGTTTTATGCAATTTTGTGAGTTGCCAGGGAAAAACTGCTTCATAGAAGAGTACCAACCTGGATCTGCCTGCAGGTTTTATCTCAATCCAGAGGCCTTATTTTTCACTTACTTCCATACACAGCCTAGATCATACTGTCCTGTACCAATGATTCTATACTAAGAACTGAAATGTCATTCTCCTTTTAAGTTATGCAGTACATTTTAAAGATAAATACACAAAATAAACACAAATTATATAAGATATCAAATTATATTTGATAAGGAGAAAAGCCTTCTTATCAAATTCAACTATGAGTTTTTCAAAAGATTAGATGAAATTCTGCATTCCCTAAACTATTGCCAGAATGGCTTAAGTAATTTCCAACCAATGTAATTATTTACAAAAAGTACTGGGTTGTCTAGACTACAGAATTAATCAGTAAGTGACACTGGGCTAAATCCCAATTAAAATGTTCAAGGAGTAATTGTGATGGATGTGGTATTTCTTACAAAAATTGATCATTTATCACATGCCAGACACTACACTGGAGCCAAAGAGACAGTTAAATATGGCCCTTGGCTCACACACTCAGAGAAGTGCTTAAGTCAGGGGAGACAAGCAGGTAATAACTATACAGCAGTGAGCTCAGTGCAAGGGCAGAAACGTGCCAAGTGTTCTGAGTGCAGTGCTGGAAGTGTCAGGAGCTTCCTTAGTCACATGTCTCTCTGAGAAAGTCATTCTGATAGACCTCTGAACTCCCAGAGTAAGGTAAATTTCAGCACTCTCTGCTAAAACACCAATTATCTAGAATTTCCTTCCACAGGCAAATGACTTCCATTTTGCCCAGCACTCTTCTTTTACAGTGAAAACTGGAGTGGGTTTATTAATAGCTGCAAACAGAAAATTATGATTACACATTCCCTAACATAGTTACACTGAATATTCCTTTCTCAAAATATTGTTTAATGCTTAATTTTTTGTGTACATGTACTACTACAGCATAACTTAACACTGGCGCTCAGTCATCAACTTGAATTACCTGGAATATGCCTTGAATTCTTTTTTAACCTATTCTATTTTGGCAACTCTGTATTTGCATATGTTACCACTTATTAAAGCTTGACTTTTTGCCCATTTTGCTGAAAGATTCATTATTCTACATCTGTAAAGACAACTGAGATGAAAACTTCCAAGGGTTGGCAGGTTAAGTCCATAAGGTCATTCACTGCCTACCATCAACCTTTCTAGGCTTTTGCCTTTTCTCCTGTTACTTCTTTTCTTTTTCTTTCTTTTTTTTTTGAGTTGGAGTCTCACTCTGTCGCCCAGACTGGAGTGCAGTGGCACACTCCTGGCCACCACAGCCTCGACCTGCTGGGCTCCGGCGATCCTTCCGCCTCAGTCTTCCAAGTAGCTGGAACTACAGGCGCGCACGACCATGCCCGGCTAATTTTTTTGATTTATTGTAGAGATGAGGTCTCGTCAAGTTGTCCAGGCAGGTCTCGAACCCGCGGGCTCAGGCAATTCACTCAGCTCAGCCTCCCAAAGCGCGGGATTACAGGCTTAGTCACCTCTTTCTTCTTTTTTTTAAGTTGGGAGTTTCACTCAGCCGCCCAGGCTGGAGTGCAGTGGCACACTCACAGCCACTCCAATGTCGACCTGCTGGGCTCCAGCGATCCTTCTGCCTCAGCCTTTCAGGTAACCAGAACCACAGGTACGTGCTACCATGCCTGGCTCATTTTTTATTTATTGTAGAGACGAGGTCTCTCCAGACCAACCAGAGTTGGTCTTGAACCCACAGTCTCAGGCAATTCACTTGCTTCGGCCTCCCAAAGTGCTGAGATTACAAGCTGAGCCACTAAGCCTGGCCTTCCTCCTGTTATTTCAAAAGTCCTAAGACAAACTGCCAATCTTTCAGACTCCCCACAAGTTAGAGACTAATCTGCCCAGCTGCAAAACTGAGGCAGAGAAAAGCATCTATTTTGTAAGTGAACATCAATTCCTGTGAAAGGAAGGTACTAGCAATGACATACACATGTACACACACAAATCCAGGATGTTTGCTACTTAGAAAATGCCTGACAAATGAAAGATCAAAATAACCTGGGCCTCAGACTAATAGGAGTGGCAAAGTCATTACCAAAACAAAGCAAGTGCCAGTATCCTGAGAGGTCATATTAGTTCTGTAATTTTGTCAACATATTTAAAAATGAGAAGATCAAATATTAGATACCCACTAATGGAAAACAGTCTTACTGAATCTATATTGGTGGTTTTTCCAGACAGTTGAACAACTGAATTTTATACAAATTGCCCTTCCACCTAAATTTTATAAAGGGCACCAAAATCTTGTTTCATCAGCAAAACTGCCTTATTTTGGGGTGAAGGGTAGTACCAGCTGACTGACTAACCCTATTAAGTCGCTGTCTACTATGACTGCTCCCCTCAATCCCCCTACAATGTGAAAAGCTTTTTTTTCCCCCTTAAATAAGAGGGAGAAGTAGGCATTTGTAGCAATGCAGGCCAGTGCTAAACAGAAGCATCCTCTTGGCCTCATCGTGAATTGCTGGCCCTCAAAACCTCAGTGGATAGGCTAAGTGCTCACCCTCCATCCCCACAGGGCTCACTCCTTAAGGGTGGGTAGCGGGGTGCCGGCTGCAGCTTCCTCCACAGGTCACAATGGGCAGTGAGGAGGTGGACCAGTGGGTGCATGATGAGTTAGCCAACAGGAGTCTGCCTGCTGGAAGCTTGGCTTGGAGAACCACTGAAATCTCTTCCCACACCTTGTATGTGTTAGGGGTAATTTGTTGACTTTGTACAGATAGATTTGCTAGAGTTTTGGGGGCACAAGGTACCTGTGAGGCATCAGTCTTAGACTGCTCATGTCTACAGGAGGAAGGCCCAGCACAGACCTGTTGTGTTATGGTGCTCTGGGCCTCGACTTGCCCTCACTGTCCTACAAAACATCTGTATCTATCTTCCCAGCTTTTGGCCTTTTTATTTTCACATTTCCATGAAATATGAAAAAAAGAGGAGGCCAGTAGTATAACTGATACACCAAAATAAACCTATTACTGTCAATGAGATAAGAGGATAAGATTGCCTTTCTAACAGAAGTTCTATGAGAATTTCACCTTGGCCCAGTTCACCTGCAACCAACAGCAACCCGAGAAAAAGCTGAACTAGTTCTGTGGGGTTGATGGCAAGAGCTGATATCACTAATCAATCAGGAGGGGGTTATGTTTTGCTGCAATGACAAATACTGCCCCAAATCTCGTTGGTTTAAAATAGCAGGGATGTATTTCTGGATCTTGCGTTCTAGCCGTGTGAGTCAGCCGAGGCTCTGCGCCACACTGTCTCCACGCAGGGACGTGAGTTGAGCGGCCTCTAGTACCTGTACCGTCAACTGCAGCAAAAAGAAGGAGCGTGGACAAGTAGGCAGAGCTGTACAAGGTCTCCATGTATACTGCACAGGACAAGGTCAGTTAGCTGAAAACATCTAACCCGCAGGAAAAGGAGATGTGTGACTGTACCATGTCCCTGGACAAGGAGAAGTGGACGAGTCAGAAGAACAGCACAAGTGATCACACACCCCATCCAGATTCCAGCTGGCACCTTTGACCCTAGCCAGGACTGACCCCTTTACCCCTCACTCAGGCAGGTTTACATAAACAGCTACAACATAGACAGATACTTGCTGGTGGGGGTCTTCCAAGGCCATTTCCCATGGATCCCCTCTGACTGCTCTCCGCTTGGTTGTCCGGTTTCACCTAAAATTCATCTTACTGTTGAAAATCTCTCCTGCTGAGTAAATATATTCTCACCTTCTCTAACTGCAGAAGCTGTTCAATCCCATCGGATCCACTTCCCTCCAGCCCTAATGTCACGTAAAAACCACATAGCCTGCAGTCTGCCTTTTCCAACTGTGCTCCCATCAGATTACAGAGCAGGCACCACTGATTTCTAAGTGCCAGTGCTTAAGAAAAAAAGAACATTAAAATATGTAAGTTAAGAAAAACCTAAAACCTTTCCTCCTTGTGACTATTTAAGTGAAACATTTTAAGTTATATTACAATGTGCATGTGTGTGAATAGAAAGCTGTCTAGGAGACACCAATGTAAATCCTGGTCATCTCTAGGCAATGAAGTTACAAAAGAGTTTTACATTCTTTCTGTAGACTTTTTAACAAATATATTATTTATATAATTACATATAAGTTACAGAAAGCTATATTAAATTCGTTTTTAGTATATTTTCAGAGGATCAATTTCATACTAATGAATTTCTTTTGTATATATTACTTCCTTCACACTACCTTTTTGAAGTATTGCATCTGAGGTAAACAAAGCAAAAGTTGATACCATGGTACTTATTTATTAAAATGGACCTCTGCCACAAAGAAGACATGCAGAGTTAAGCTCTCCGTAAACATTTCTTCATTATCTTATTGAAATACCTAAAATTAAAAGTGATTCAAGCTAAGAACATACAAGTGACAAAGCCAGTAAAGAGAGCGGGACAAAAGAAAAGAGTCAACCTGGACTCTGCCCTGTACACACAATGGGCTGGCCTAGGTTCTTCACTGGACATGATGGGCACGACAGAATGGACGCTGGGGAGAGGAAATACTAAGAACAACAACAATAATAATGGCAGCTAACATTTCCTGGATACAAACATTTTGCTTGCTTCTCTACTAACATATACATTTTCTCACTGAACTCTGAGGATTATTCTAAATAGTAAGAACTACTATTTTCCCTACTTCTAACAATGAGAAAAAGAAGGCACCTGCCACCATATTTCAAATTTCAAATCAACTCCAGGAAGAGGAAGACTGAGCAATGTATAAAAACACAAAACCATAGCAAATCCAGCACAAAACAACTGCAG